TTGACAAAGATATCCTCTTGCGGATGAGCCACCTCTTGGCAAGTGGACTTTACGTATCGTAACCAAGGTAATAGCAAATAATTGGTTATAAGACTAAGTATAATTCCTATTTATCTCATAGATACATGAATGGATTGTATACGTTCATTATAAATTTTTAGGTAGTTTTTTATTCTTAGCATATACAATACCACTTAAAGTTGGCAGACAAGTAGACCTCACGCGACTAATCATGTTTGAATTACATTGAAATTTAGGATGATAAAGCGGAAAAAAGCTTTGAGATTAAAGAATATGGTATGAATAAATATTACATTATCATGAATTGTAACCAGGAGAAAATATTGCTATTACCACTTCCGTAATGCAATAAGGCTTAAAAAATTTCTGATATTAATATGCTCCTTTTAGAATAGACAAAATATATGATTAGTAATACATATACTTTAAGAATTGTATTAACTTGTATTTTATTTTATTTTAAATTCTCTATAGTGCTTCCAAGATTTAATACGAAGGTTACGTTGCCATCGTTTGGTTTGAATACCGATGACAAGCTTACGATATCCATCTCAGCAAAGTAAGCAGTTATTTATTAATTTCTATAGCGTTAGAAAAGTCGTATGAAATTCAACTAATTATTGTATCGCAGATATACCTATGGTATGCCGGTCAAAGGTGTAGCATATATTAAGTTGAACCCAAAATACTGGTATTCTAGAGGCTCAAAAATTCCTGAAATTAGAAAGGAAGAAAAGGTAATGACTTGCTATGCTGATAGAATTAATAATACAAATTTTCTATAATGAAAATTTATTAAAATTATGTTCAGATCGATGGGTATTTAAACATATCAGTTCCAACATCCGATATTAAATGGCATTTAAACAAAAATAAAGAACTAAATTACTTCAATTTACTGGTCAACGTCATCGTTATGGAAAAGTTAACGAGTATCAAGGAAAATGGAACCTCCAGCATGACTTATTATTCACGGCCTTATCGTGTTAATGTCGTGTCATCAACGTCTGCCTTTAGACCAGGAATGCCTTATCATGCTATGGTAAAACATCGTTAATTTTTTATCTTCAAGGTGACTGTGAGGTTCTAATAAATTTTGTTTTGTATACTTGTTTTCATTCATGTAGCTGGCAGTAGTTCAACCTGACGGTAAGGCCGTAGCTGCATCACTTTCCGATTATTTGACTGTACGGACAGAATACGGAAATGGTCATACTACTGTAAAGCAGCTACAGTCGAAATATGGTCTATACAAACTGAGTTGGAATATTCCTTCCAATGCAACCACGTTTTATTTTAATGTAATACTTGAAGTTGCTGTTAATGTATATCATGTTTTAATAAACATCATAAAAAATTACAATTATGATATTTCTTATAGGCATATTACGGCACTAAATCAAAG